CAAAAAATGGTGGTCTTCCGGCTATTAGCAACTAAGGGGGACGCTTTACCTGACGTCATTCCTAGGACGAGTCCCATACGAGTATGAGCTTGGCAGGATTGCTTCACGAAACTGCCGTCTCCGACCTCACATTTTTCCTGATTTTATCGGCAGTGAGATTAGTTATTTATTTAAATAAGTTATGAAGGCATGGTCAGAATTTTACCAGTAGCAGCTGGCCAACAAGACACAGCCTTAGGAGACTCATAGTACACTTACTCATAGAAATAATAATTTTACAAGTGCAATTATCATTTTTTTTCTCAGCACTGGCCTTCTGCCTGTCAATAATGAACAATTAATGAAGGGCAAGGGTAGGTAAGGATATGTGTGTAGCCAGATGTGTATATTTTTATCATAATTGATCAAAAATGTCTGTATTTACAGAGAATCTAATTTTTCCCATATCTCCTTTATTTGAAATGGAGTCAGTTTTTTCTTTTTTAGAGGCTCCTCATATTGCGAGGCCCTAAGATGTAGTTTAATTAGTTTATGCCTTAATCTGGCCCTGCCAGCTACAAACAGTTAAATCAGTCAATGTATTATAATTCTTTGGACAATTACAGTGGAATTTCTGAAGAGCTCAAAGCATTGGCCAAACTCTGCTCTGATTGAGTTCAATGGGAATTTTACCACTGACTTCCCTGGAAACTGAATAAAGCCATCATGCAGTGCTTTTGAAAATCCCACCCCTGCTGTACAATGCTGCAGTCCTCTCTCCACTCTCACCCCATGAACACATTCAAATAAGGTAAGAATGGACATGTAGAAAAACAACAATAAAATGTCACCCTGCAAAAAGATTGGTAACCCACATTCTAGCTTTATTGACTGCAGGCAAGTTTTTATTATGCCTCAAATAATTAAGTTCTGCAACAGTGACATTAAAAAAACAACAGACCAATTTATCAAAATAATTGTATTCTGAAGACTATCTACATATTATACATTTTACAGAATTACATAAACAGGCATTTTTATACATAATGTAAATATGGTAACCAGAAAATCCAAAATACACGTTGACCAAAATATTCCTATGAAATGTAAGAAATATATAGGGCACTTAAAAAAAATTAGAAATAGTAAAACCATCTTTAAAAAAGTATAATTGAGTTAGTAGAAATTGAATTAAATTACAATCATATTAAAAAGCTAAACTAAAAAAATATTACTTATGTATCATTCAAAAAAAAATTAAAGAGAAAGAAACACACTTTCCTTTATATATTAACACCTTCACGCTTGTAGCGATGGTATGCCTCATTTCCAGCAATGGGACATAGCCTAGGAAATCCAGGTCTCCATTCTCCAGGGGTTAATTCAAGAGTACCACAATGGTTAGATTATAGCCGTTAGGCCTAACCCCTTTAATTTAAACAGTAAAGGTGTGTAACAGTACAAATATTGTATATTTTCATGCATCTCAATTACATTAATTGTAGGACTTGGTATAACTTAATACTAACTTACCAGAGGCCCAGTACGTTAACATTTTGGCATGCAGTGCTAAAGGGAAGCAAAACACACTGCAGTGTGCTTACAGAAGTGTTGTCACTGGTTTGCTATTCACCAGCTGAGCACAACAATATATATAGACATCCCTCTGGATGACCGCCGCAAGAAATGTGGGGGCCTAAATTCAGAAGAGGATATCTTGTACCAGTCCTATTAACTCACTTAAAATGCCTTAAGCCCTTTTACTCTCCAAAATGCATGTTCAACGGGCCTTACACACAAATGATAATTAAAATCTTTTGATGATAGTGGGCCAGATAAACATTTTATGAACTAGTTTGAGTATCACCCAGTTGTTCTTCCTGTAAACCTTCATTCTTCTTGTGCAGAGTATATTTTCAACCGATGGGACTATTTTGATTTTGGATCTATGATTGTCTGAGTAGTTCTTTACGTAATGCATTCTACACGTACTTTACCCGCAGACCATCTTTTATTATCTGCTGTGATTTTTGTAACTGAAGCACCTTGATACACATTAAAATTAAGTTTATAATAATTGTACATAAACAGCTGTTAACCTTAACAGCTATTAACAGCACCGTATTCTTAAAGCTTTTATAGCTTGCATGTTTTAAAGTTGCACTGCATCTACACGCTGAGACCTGATCCTGCAAACACATATGCCCATGTTTATCTTTAAGCATGCAAACAGTCCCATTAAAGCCAATGAGACTACTCATTGTGGCCTAAAAGTTAAGCACATAAGCATTTCAGGATTGGGGCTTCAGTGTGTAATTCAGCTAGCCCTTACTCACCCATGAATCACTGAAGGCAATGAAATTGAGTGACTAAGGTTGAGTAGTTTTAGGCACGAGATCACTTCGCATATAAGTTACAGTGTAGATCGAATGCTCTTTCCAAACTTGGACAATAGGAAAGTTTAAATTTATACCCAAAATGCTCTTTTAAAACATTACCAGAATTATGACAAGAATGAGACCTATTCCATTGTCTGTCTTTGTGTTGCCTTAATATAAAAGAGATGCTAATCTAGAATATCAAAATAGTGTATTCACATATATGTATGAAAGCATCTAATAGAAAAGTAAAAAACATAAAAGGCAAACTTTGAATTATTGTAATTAAATATCCTTAGAAAAAAGTTCGTTTCAAGCAAGAATCTTTTGTTGAACATAACCCCTAAAACAACAGAGTTACATTTCCCCTCTTCTATGGGCTTTTGCTGCAATGGCGCCACCTTCCTCCTCATCTTCCTCTTCCTCCTCATAATTTTCTTCATGACCTTCTTTTTGGTTGTTGTCTTCATGATCTCCTTGCTCACGGTCTGCAGCTTCATTGTTTTTTTCATCAGCCTGAAAAGATAAAACAAAAATGGAAGGATTCAGTGAAAGTACTCTGATGCTCTGTACCTCAGGGGAACACCCAGAACCCACATGTTCATCCTTGTAAAATGATTGTGTAGTATCCAATGCAAAGTTTGTCATGTTGAATGTCTTCGGAAGGCTCATGATGCACTGAGCATGGTTGTTGTAGTGATGTTACAGTAATTCTTATAGTAATGTTATAGGTTATAATTTCATGTATATAGTTATGAGGCTGGAAATGTATCCTCATGGTTTAAAGCAAGCCCAGGCAAAAACTCTCCAAGAGCAGAGAAGCAGTTCACACCTCATCAGGGCATGTATGGGACAAACCCAGCCCAGTCTCACAGGAACAAAGGATGCTGGCCTAGGCAGCAACAAAAGAATCTGTTGGGCTCCCAAGTGACTCACCCCCCTTCCTTTGGCCACTTTGCAACTGTGATGAGGTAATGCTCACCTGACTCTGAAGGGCAGGACAAAGCCAAGAGGGAAGAAAGGACATGATAAAAGGGAGACACGTTTGCCATGCTCTCCCTCTCTCTTCCACCTACATCTACAGACACCACATCAAGCGACTGAAGCGCTGATCAAAGCGGAGAGCCTGGCTGAAGAGCAACCAGCCAGCCTGTGGTGAGAAGCATCTACATTTGTAAGGGCACTGAAAGTGTTAAGATCAGCTTAGAATGCGTTTTGCTTTTATTTCACTTGATCAAATCTGACTTGTGATGCTTTGACTTTTATTCACTTAAAATCTATCTTTGTGGTTAATAAATCTGTTTGTTTATTCTACCTGAAGCAGTGAGTTTGGTTTGACGCGTGACAGAGATTCCCCTTGGGATAACAAGCCTGGTACATATCAATTTCTTTGTTAAAATGACAATCTCATATAAGCTTGCTGCGTCCAGCAGGCATTACTGGACACTGCAAGACGGAGGTTCCTCGGATTGTGTCTGGGACTGGAGATATTGGCTAGTGTCATTCGGTTGCACAATCCAAGGAGCAGCTTACGTGCCGGAGGCTGTGCGTGAACAGCCCAGGAGTGGGGAATCTCACAGCAGACCAGGGTAAGGCTGGCTCCCAGAGTCAAGGATTGGAGTGACCTAGCAGATCACCGGTCCAGATAACACCAGGGGAACATCACAAATACATTTACCCATAAATCTTTTAAAAATATATATTGTTTGGTAGTTATAGCATATCCCAAAACACCTGGCTGGGTTGGGGTAAAATTCTGGTGCAGGCCAGAACTTATAGTTCTGAGGAAGTGAGGGCAAAGGTGGCTTTAAGCCTCCGAATTCTGCGATGCTCTGGAAGCTGATGCGTCATAACACAAAATCTCGGTGGAGCTATAGGCCTGCCCATAACCCCATCCACTATGTTGAGGCTTGCTAGTGGCCTACATAAGGCAGGCTGCAGCTGTCCTATACAATTCCTGTGGCAGGGGGACTGTCCCCTATCTAGCTCTGTGGGTTTTATAGCCCTGTATTATGCCACAGAGGCTGTGGTGGGGATGAAAGTTTCATCCTTTACAGTCTGATCCTGTTGAAGTTAATGTCAAAAGTCCCATTGATTTCACAGTAGCAGGATCATACCTTTAGTGAGTTACATTATTAAATGTGGTTATAATGGAATATTTACAGAATTCTATAATCCTCATACATGACAGAATAGCACATTACACAACACAATACGGATTCAGGGAGAGTTTCTGGGCTGTGTGTCTTGGAGGCACAGCACAGAATTTGCAGCCTGGATGTGTGTGTGGGAGGGTGGGGAGCAAATTTAGAGATGCAATTAAATAGGTATTGGTAGATGGAAAAGGGGGTGATTCTCATGTGAAGCTGGAAGAGTTGACGAAGGAATTCTAGATGCTAGAGCTGGGGGCTCTCTAGGTTGAAAGGATTTTTGGGAGGATCAGGAAGTGAAGTAGGGCAGGAGGAAGTTGAGGCAGAGTTTGAAAGTTAATTTATGCTTAAAAGTGAGCTACAGCCTTTATTGTGTAATGTCTACCATGACTGTAGCTTTGTTAAAGACAACTAAACCTACTATTATATTGTACCTACATTTTCATCATTTTCACCATATGGCTCTTCAGCATTGTGTTCCAGTTCCTTTTTCTTCTCTTCAGTCAAATCTTCTTGGACCTAAAAGGCACAAACATACAGCTCTGCAAAGTTCCGGTTTCCTTTAAAATTAGCATGTGGCAAATATAATCCTTCTACAGTAGAACCTCAGAGTTACGAACATAACTCCGATACATTCATCTCTCTGAACAAAAACATTATGGTTGTTCTTTCAAAAGTTTACAACTGAACATTGACTTAATACAGCTTTGAAACTTCACTATACAGAAGAAAAATGCTGCTTTCCCTTCATTTTTTTTTAGTAGTTGACGTTCAACACAGTACTGTACTATATTTGCTTTTTGGTCTCTGCTGCTGCCTGCTTGCGTACTGCCAGTTCTAAATGAGGTGTGAGGTTGACTGGTTAGCTCGTAACTCTGAGGTTCTACTGTAGTATTAAAATGCAAAACAAAACAAAAACCCTGTTTAAAAAAACATCACCAGCACATTGTTCACCTGCTCTGAAAATAAATGTCTGAATTCAAAGTACAATGGTCATACAGTGCTCCCCACTACAAGCCAACACACATGCACACACTGCTCAGATTGGAACTGAGACTTCTTTATCAAGTTTGTCCCTCTCTTTCAAAATTAAAACTTCCGTATTAAGTCTGTACAGTGGTTTTGATTAAATCAGTCCCATCAGGAGGCTCCTATAATTAGATTTCATGCTTGACATGTGATACTGACATTTAGTGGTGTGTATACAAAAGACCAATTCCTCCTTAATCTTTTTAATATTCTCTCACTAATATGTGTAGTGACCCTGAGGCTGATAGGGTCCAGAGTGACCTAGACAAATTGGAGGATTGGGCCAAAAGAAATCTGATGAGGTTCAACAAGGACAAGTGCAGAGTCCTGCACTTAGGACGGAAGAATCCCATGCACTGTTACAGACACGGGACCGAGTGGCTAAGAAGCAGTTCTGCAGAAAAGGATCTGGGGATTACAGTGGATGAGAAGCTGGATATGAGTCAGCAGTGTGCCCTTGTTGGCTAATGGCATATTGGGTTGCATTGCCAGGAGATCGAAGGAAGTGATTATTCCCCTTTATTTGGCACTAGTGAGGCCACATCTGGAGTATTGCGTCCAGTTTTGGGGCCCCCACCGCAAAAAGGATGTGGACAAATTGGAGAGAGTCCAGCAGAGGGCAACGAAAATGATCAGGGGGCTGGAGCACATGACTTATGAGGAGAGGCAGAGAGAACTGGGCTTGTTTAGTCTGCAGAAGAGAAGAGTGAGGGGGGATTTGATAGCCGCCTTCAACTCCCTGAAGGAGGGTTCCAAAGAGGATGGAGCTCGGCTGTTCTCAGTGGTGGCAGATGACAGAACAAGGAGCAATGGTCTCAAATTGCAGAGGGGAAGGTCTAGGTTGGATATTAGGAAACACTATTTCACTAGGAGGGTAGTGAAGCACTGGAATGCGTTACCTAGGG